CAATAAGGCTTACGCCAAGGTGTTCTGCGACATTGGTACCCAAGAGACTTTTGAAGAGCTTACAGGATCATTTCTAATGAACATAAATCCTCCCCCTTTTGCACTGTAACAATGACCTATTACATTTTCTACACGAAGCTGAGAGAAGATGTTTGCTGCAGTCTTGCCAAGTCCAAGGAGTCCAGTAGTGGGAGGAGGACCGTGTCGACCATGTTGAATGTCAGATGCACACCTGCAGACCAGAGGTAAGGAATCAAAGTTCCTTGCAACTGTAATTGAAGATACAGAACACAGATACACACCCAAAGGTCAAACTGGGCTGAAAAGGAGTGCCATTGATGATGCCTAGATAAAAGTTGTCTCTGACCAGCACCCCACGAACTGAACTACCATCAGCATACGACCTGTGGAAGTGACATTGTTCATATGGTCCCTTGCAAGTAGTTTCTCCTAAACTTTGAATTACAGGACATAAAGGATCCTCACAAAGCACAAAGCTGCCTTGTGCAGGCTTGTAAAGTTGATCTGGGGGCTGCAGAAAGAAGGCACAGATAAATCACAAAGGCACAAAAGCAATACGTGTGATGCGAATAGAACACAATCATTATATGCTATATTAATTACAACTTTCTGGACAAATTTAATTACCACAGTGCAGCCAGTGCAGCCAGTGCAGGGTGCATCACATTGGACCCAAGCGAGGTCACTTCCAGTGTCAATGTCAAGGGGAAAAGGCTTTTGTGGATTGCCTATGCTGAAGGACACTGCAAAGTACCTGCATATTCAAGGAAGTATGAATTCAATTATTTCCATTACCTTAACCCCAGGAAGCAACAAACCTATCAAGCAAACGAGAACATGTGTAGGACAAAAAAAAAATGAAAAGATGTATGAGATTGCATCAAGCGAGAACATGTGTAGAACAAAAAAAAGAAAAGATATATGAGATTGCATCATGGGGAACTTGTAGGAAGAATTTCACAAAGGAGTTCTACTTTGATCTGAAAATATGAAATGTATAAATGAATAGAAAATTTACATAAAAGAGACTAAGAACCAAATCCAGGCAAACCCATTAAAACAAAAAGGACTAATTTGAATTCCAAGGAAACCAGAAACAAGATACAATTACAAGGAACATCCTCGAGAAGATCGAAAGCATACCCGTCAGGATAGACATTCCCAGTGACCGGAAAATAAAGAGAAGAGCCAAACCCATGACCATGAGAAGCCATTGTTTGAACTTCGGGTTTCTTGATGGGGAGCTGCTGGCTGGCTCCCAAGAAACAACCTGGAAGAGTTGCAGCCAGCACCTGAATGAACAAGACCAGCATCAATGAAAGTTTTCTGCTTTTGTTGGCATCCATGGGATATGATCTCTCTGAAGAAAAATCTAATTAAAAGGTTTGGATTTTGGGAGGAATCAGAAGGCAAGCACCGTTGCTTAATGAAGAAGTTTTGAGGTTGAGGAAAGTATGTTGCAAGAACAGTGACTCCTTGGCGCAGTTGCCACTAGCCAATAATAGAATACAAAGGGCAGAAGTTTCAATTCAGCCCCTTCTACTTTGATTGTTATGGCATGTCAGCCCCTCTACCGTGTAGATGCCTTAATTGTGGTGACAGGAGCATCCAACACAGTGCGAGTCCTGGTATCAGCTGTCGGGACGAGTGAGATTATAGGCTGCGTTTGTCATTGCAATTGAGATTTTTTTTTTTTTTTTTTTTGTGTAGTTACATAATATTTTGAGATGTATATGTGGTGGATAATTTTGTTTAAGTTATTGTTTTAAAAAAATTATAGAAAGGCATAATAAATTTATACTAATTTTATGTATAAAGTTAAAAATTTCATTTTAAAATTTTTTACACGTGATTTTCATGAACAATATCTAATATTTAATATAATTATAAAATTACTCATTAAAACTCAATTTCACATAATTTAATAACATCATCATTTATAATATTTTAATAAT